AGGCTCGAGCTCACCCATCTCCACAAAATGTCCCCTCGTGCGCTGCTGGCGTTGTCTTGAAGTCTGCACAACCGGTCTGCCTCGAGTTTAAGAAGGCACGCGGTTCTCGCCCCCCCCCCGTCGCAAGCAGGCACCAAACATCTCGAGTCCTCCCAGGCCCTTTCTAACCCCGAGCTACTCTCTCATCCGGAACACATCCTCGACCGTCTGGCGTGTGTAGTCACCAGGGCACCCTCCCATTTGATCCTGTATCACTTGTACTCCTTCCTTTGAGCCTCCCACCACCAGCCTCCGGGCCTGTACGAGCCTGTCAAGCCACTGTGCCAGGGTAACAAGAAGCCAACTGAGATAGGTGCTTCACCTTGCGTTGCCTCACATCGCACCTCACCAACCACCGGCCGCACTCCGTTCTGACTTATCGGTTCACCCAAACTGGCCGACCATCCATCCACCATCCATCACCTTTACAAGCTAACCGGACATACCCAACACATTGGAACGCCCTAATACCGACCCAGACGCGCTACATCGGATCTTGTACACTTCGAGAGTGTTATTGATTACGGCATTCCCTTTGGGGAGGACACGCAGCTGTGCGGCAAGCTTCGCGACTTACTCCCGAGCAGGTAGGTAGTGCCCAGCAGTACCTTTCTGCCTCAGATCTCAAGGTCTCCATCAGAAGACAACGACGGCGGCAACCAGCGCAGGCCCCCGAACAGGTGACAAACCTGGCAATTGAAGCACTTCAGCCTGCCCACTTAGGCCGGCCAGAACAGCATATTTGAGTCTTCCAGTTGGAGCATCTCCAAGACCAGGGTAGGAAATTGCCAACCAACACCGTGGCCAACCCACCCCAAGCACAGAAGTGACGAAAGGGCCAGACCGAGTCGAACAGAACCAGGGAAATCACCGCACAAGAGCAAGCGTCCACTCCACGCGCCTTCCTTATCCCCACCAAGCTCCTGCCTGTCCGCTTTCGTCGGCTTTCTCGAACCCCAGGACTGCGCTGCAGGCATTCTGTCGCCTTTGAACGGCAACTCCTGCTACTACGCATATCAGCTTCAAGCAAGTTGACCAAAGCACCTGAGTCGAAACAAGTAAGAATTTCTCCTTACCTTTGACTATACCATCCATTGTTGAAAGAGGCTACACTTGCCGCGATCTTGTCGCCGGATGGGCAGCTGATGGGTGGCGGCCGCTGCTGCCCATGCTACCAGGTGACTATCGACGTTGAAACTGGCAGCAGGGCAGGGCGTTAGTGATTAATGTTTGAGAGCTCAATGCCTGTTGCCCACCACCTGCCGTCCCCACCTTTCCCGCCCAGATCTTTCAGCGTGCGGTTCAACCGTGGAGAAAGCATGGCATCTCGTAGCCGGGGATGTGCAAGGCTCCATCCGGAGCAGTTTTCTTCTTTCGACTAGGAATGCAGTTGCTGAAGACACCACACTCAGCTGCAACGTTTTTTGAAGCAACTGCAAAATGGAGGCTAACGTTGATTTAGGACCCACTCCGACGTACATGTTAGTGCTGTTTCTTCACCGTTTTCATCGACGTGCATGCTGCCCATCGTTTCTTTTTCCCATGTCTCGGATTCGAACCTCGTCGAGGGTAAACCCCGAGCAGCGGGTGAGCCCAGCGCTTCTAGACACCGGTATGGAGCTTTGAGTCGAGGAACCGCGGAGCGATACGAAAAGGCCCAGCCCGTCCTCTTCGATGCGACGGACGAAGTGCGACACCCTCTCCAGAACAGCCATATTTATGCTGGCGGCATTTGTCCACGCTCAAGACCTTTCCTCAAAACCTTCCGACCTACGAGAAAGACCACTTCTCAACCGTCCGTCAATTCGTGCTGTACTTCAGCGACTTCCGTTGTGCGCTGAGCCCGCATGCAATAGTCAATATTCAGTCCAGCCCGGTCCCTTCGGCCTCGTTCCAATCCCACCCTGCCTTGTCAGGTGGAACGACGGCGTTATTTGTTGGAATTCGGCAACGCTTCTGAGATTCACTGGAGGAGATGCTGACGCGTCGCATTCAATCAGGATAGCTGAGACTTCCGACAGCATTGAGTGCGAGTGCCAATCGGTCATTAGGAATGACAAGGGCAGAAATACCTCTTAAGGTCGGTCAGCACTTTGCTTAGCAGACGAGCACATTGCCCAAGACCTTGCCTGCGTTGCCGTGCCGCTCGTGTGCATTGGGCTCATGCGGCCCAGATATCATCTGACAGGAGGAGGAGACTTCCCGCCGCACAGCTAGGCTCTGGTTGGCGAAGGGGGGCCAGGCTTCCAAATTATGGAGGCTCTGTCTCTTCCGACCCACGTCAAGCCACCCCTGAAGGCACTAACATGCCACCCTGTTGCAGCAGTCCCCAGCCAGGAACCTCAGCTAACGATGAGCCCCACGGATGGGGGTAAGATAGGCACCCTACCAGCTCGACCCCATCGACTGCCTCCTGCGCAACGATTCCTCTCTGGATCGTGGAGAGGCACCTCGCATGACTTCACAAATTCCCAAGGTATTTACTCATTGTTGGGCCCCCCCCCTCTAGTACTGCATACACTTTGCTCAAAATACCACCGCCCCGCCCCGATCCCCATTGCACACCCCAGAAGCTCTGCATGGCCAATTATTTAGGGCGCCCCCTTCACCTTGTTACGAGCTTCCATGTGCAAGATCATCCGCTCGGCAAGACCTGCAACACGGCTCCGCGGTGCCAGCTCTCCAACTGCATGGCAGACCCCGTATCGTCATCCAAAGGCATGGCTTGCTCAGTTCTGGGGAAGAGGCCTTGCGGGACTGTTGCGTGTGTTGAAGAACAAACTCGTTGAGGCGAGCTCAGAAAGTTTCAGAAGGTGAGTACAGTCCCCCACGAAGCATGTCAGCCCATAACACAGACTCATGTCTCTTCTGCCTGTCTCAAAACTCGGCATTCACTTCCATTCTTTTTCCGCATGCACATGAATTCGGCAGACTTGCCACCCGAGCTGTTCCTTGAAATAAAATGTGCGAATCGGATGTCTTCTGGCTCGCAATTTCGAGGTCATCACGGCAGAGATCGCTGGCAAGATACTACTTTTCTTGTGCAAAATGACATCTGCACCCGACCTGTGTCTTGGCCGTGGACTCTTTCTTCTCTCTTTCCAATCAAAATTTGGCTAGCGGAATCGGTGGGCGTGCAGCTATACGTTACATGCGCCTTGAGACAGGAGAGTCTCCTGTACATGAGCGTAAGCCTGGACGCACCGTCAGACGATGTATCTGATACTCGTCTGCGCCACCGGGGCCAGATGTCTCTCGTTGTATCCTGCGGTCACTGTACTGCAGGGTGCAGCAAGCACACACACACTCTCTCACGCACACCACAGCCTAACCTCGAATTCGGGCGTCGGGCTTGATCTGCCTTCACCCTCAAAAGCCAAAGCCTCGCATTCTTACACTGCAGATGTCGTTTTGTTACCCCCGTCTTCCCCTCTCATTTTTTTTCATCTTGGATCCCTTTGCCGGCTTGGCCCTACCATCGTCACGAACTTCCTTTAATGGGTGCTGGACAGCTAATCTGAGCCGTGACGGCCGATAGACACGCGCATCAACAGCCCGAACTTCTTCCTCACTACTGTACACCCAGACCTGCTGACAACGACTCGGCCATGATGTCAACAAAGATGTAGAGCTGCCGATGAGCTACTCGTTCTTCCGTGCTTCATTTATGCGCCTCCTCAATCAGTCGCTTTGCCGCCGAACCTAACATTTCTCTCTCAATCCAGCAGGATTTCGCGTCGCCCTCCTGTCCCGGGCTGGAGTACCTCGACCTGCCCAATCAATCTGATATGCGGTGAGTACATTTATCCAAAGACTCACGGCCCTTACAAGCATGAGATTGGCGATCAAGCCCCCTGCGAATCACCCCTTGATCTTTTTGCATTGGACAGTGTCCGCCGCCACCAAAGTGCTTTCCCTCACCCGTCCCCCGTCATCGTTGAACATATGTCAAGATGACAGGGGTGGGAGGATCGAAAATCCTCGGTGTGTTGAGAAGTGCCTTGCTGCCCCTGTCGATTCCTCAATACGCACAAAGCAGCCCGCAGATGGCCCATGAGCAGGGAGTGCAGGCAGCCAATCCTCCCGCCCCCCGACCCCCCCCCGGCCTCTCTGTGGCCAGTACTTACGACCTCGCGAGCGCAAGGCAAGGATAGTCTCCAGCCCTTCGTAGCGTGGAAAAATGCTACTTAGGCCGTCTAGACCCCTCCGCTTGATGCCGCATATGGTGTTCGCAGCAGACACCCCGATTCTGTAGTCTGCTGTTACCTGTGCAACATTCTTAGCTGGCAGTACGACAACTTGTCTCACCTGGACATTGTGTTGCGTCCGCATGGGCAACGAGTTACAACATCCTCGGTGGCAGGCTTTTCTAGAAGACGCTAACAGTGATTACTTGGCGTTGGACTGTTGGGCAGCCTTGCTGATATGTGTGCGCCAGTAGCTATAGTCACGACTCCAGTACCTCCCCTTTGACACTGGAAAGTTCAGCTCAACCGTCACCAGTCATAAACCTCTATCCTCCGGGCCACACGTCCCTCTTCAACTCGGCACCAGCCTATCCACCGGACAGCGGGGGTTCCTTCTATGCTCCAGCCTCTCACGTCTTCCCGCACATAGACCCGAGGTCTCGCCTTGGCTCCAGGTACGAAAACACGCCAACTGGTTGTTCTGACCATCCCGTTCACTCCTTGTCTCGACGCGCATTGGATGTTTTGACTCACAGTCTGTGTGGGAGTAGCACCTCTACCCCGGGCATGGCACATGCCCTTCGATCCACAACATTGCCGCATCCAGCCACGCGAGATCTCTATACGCCAGCGACGCCCTCTTTTAGGAGAGCACCTGAACACACACCGAGATCTCCGTCCTTCCCAGGTGGGCACCGACGCCGTCCTATGTCACCAACCCCAAGCCCTAACTTTGGTCTCACAAATCACCCAGGTAATATCGGCAGGCCCGCGATGGATCCTTCGTACAATTCCTCCAAGCAGCAGCAGACCGTCCCTCCACTCATGGGGTTGACGATGCACGGCGCGCTCTATTACTCAGACGCCCCCAACACTCCAGTCAAGCCTGATATCTCTGGCACAATCGACAAAGGCTTCTTCCTGGCGGAAAACGAGTGGACGTGTTATCGGCGGAATTACTTCTCGTGTATCTGCTCATTTAACCTCCAGCAGCCGACACATCCTCAGGCCACTCTACACTTCACACCATCGGGGTCCACCCAGTCGTACCAAGTTGCTGGCTGGGCCATGTGCATTTCAGCAGTTGTCTCCGAGAACGATGCCCACACGATTGAGTTGGTGCAACACACTCCGAAGCGGGACAAAGGGCCGATCTCCCCCCCGGAAAAGACCAGGCTAAACCCCAAGCCTCCCCAGACGGCGCACCATCCACTTGGCCACTACGCGCAGACGGAAATGGGGCTCGGAGGATCATCGAGGGCCTACGAGCAGTCTCTGTATGGGCAGCCGCTGCCGCATACCTCCCTTCACGCTTCGCTTCCGACGGAGCATACCTTCGAAAGGATCCAGTTCAAGCAGGCCACAGCAAACAATGGGAAGCGCAGGGCAGCACAACAATACTACCACCTAGTGGTCGAACTCTTTGCGGACATTGGATCCCAAGGCCAGGGAAACGACCAGTGGCTCAAAGTCGCGCACAGAAAGTCAGCCAAGATGATAGTCCGTGGAAGGTCGCCGGGACACTATCAGTCCGAGCGAAGGGCGAGCACAAGCAGCGGCCCGGGTGGCTCGGCTGGCGGAATGGGCGGCTACACCGGCGCTGGCTCAACCATGATTGGGGGCGGGTATGGGGGACCAAATGCGAACATGCTTGGGGGCGCTTACGGGGCCGCTTACGACACACGGCCGGAACATTACCGCACCCACCACGAAGCGATTCCCATGGAGCCCATACTGAGCTCCGAAGAGTCGAAGGCGGTCCATGAGCCAGAGAAGTACCAGTACTACCCCACAGCCATCATCGAGCCTCAGCACGATCCTCGACAACCGGTCGAGATGTTCCATCATACCTCTTCTACGCGGTCATCGGACAATCCCCTGAGAATGGGAAGTGGATTTGACCTCACTTCGAAGCTATATCCAGGGCCTTTGTTCTCTGACAGAGCTGGGGCCTGCGGACGATACGAAGGGAAGTCGACCTCGCACGGCTACTACCCACAGATGATGCCGCCACCACCGTCGTCAACAGTTGGCCTTCACTGAGGACAAGACGTTCTGAGGCCCAAAGACCTGTGGTTCTGATTGAAGCTGGCTATCAGCGCTCCGGGAGAGGAACCGGGTTCAGTCCCACCACTTCATCGCTGAAAACGCCACGCGCGAACGGCCCGAGTCTTCTATCGAACGGGAGTCATGGAACACGGACAGTGGAAAACATTGGGAAAAGCGGATTGCCTGAGACATGGACCTTGTCATTTTTGCGTTGCTTGAGAGCTCGAGATCAGGGAAGTCTGGTCCGATGGTTTTTAATGGCGTATGGTTCGGCCTGGGACATGAAGGAGCAAGGAGCCATCGGAAAGACGGGGCATCAATGGGGCTATTTCTCTTTATTAGGAATATGGGACAGGAAATGGGCACTTGGGAAAATGGTTTACAGAGGGCATGGCATTTGCGAGAAATACCCGTTTGATTTATCAACCCCCCCCCCCCAACCTTCCCCATTACCGCCGCTCATCCGCGCAACGCACAGAGCACCAACATTCGCTTCCAGGCGGACACGAAGAACAAGATGACGAGGAATACGAGAAGGGTCAAAGCACTTGGACGAGTCGCGCACATGGGATGGATGATAGCCATGGAAGCGGACGGCTTGGTCCTGGCGATTTCTCGCCGCTCGTTTCGCTTGGCTCGGCTCGGATTGTGTCTGAAGAGTTGTCCTTTGCATCACATCACTCACACGCGCCCATTCTCTCTTCCCCCGATGACAGCCGTCTTACCAGGTCTCGCATGGAGGGATTCTGCTATCTTTGTTGTATTTGTTGATTCGCCACATTTCACGCAAACTTTCTGAACCAACATGTAACGTACGATGGACACTGAGGCCTTGATGCAAGGTGCAAGATGCAAGATGCGAGTATGATGTTGGACTGCTGCAATGCTTAACAGCAAAATCATTGTTTCAAGAACCATACTTCGGCGGGAGAGACAATTTGCGTGCATGCGACCGTGGCCAAGCATGAAGGTGCCCTAGGCCTTTGTGTGCTCGCGAGAGCCTTGCCTATCTACAAAAAGCTCGGCAGTGGTAATCAGACCAAGCACTTGTGTCCCGACACAGAGGACAGCAGAGTAGACCTTAGGGCGGCAGACCGTCTCTTGAGGCTGGCTGGGACGGAAGGAGAATACGGGTTCCCACTCACTATTGGCTCTCTGCATGGGGAAGGGCAGGTTGGGCGATTCCTCGTTCAAACTCCCGTGTTCCTTGCATGGCATCGAGGGGACAGACGGCGGTGAAGTGGGGACTGTTGTTGGGGGCTGAAAAGTGCAAGGCGAGTTGAATTGAATTGCCTAGGTAGGCATAGGGAGCCCACCCCACAATCCAACCACGGCGGCACAACCCCGCCGCTGATGGGACGGGATCCCGAGGGCTGAGGCGGAGGGCAGGGTAGCAGGATAGCAGGAGAGCAGGAGAGGCCAGCGACCCCCCAACGAAAACTTCCTTTTCCAACGACTGGGGCGACTTGACCGAGCTGGCTTAGCCAGATTTTCGCGGCTCGGGTCCTTTTGCCTGGAGCGCTGGACTTGGGGGCGCGGGCCCTTGTCTGGGCGGCTGCTGAGGTTCGAAGCCGAGATAAGCACCCCCCGTGTTGACTAAACGTGCATTTTAATGTGGGCCGCGCAGCTGCAGGCACGGCACACGCCAGCGAGTCTCGTGCGCTCCGAGGGGAGATCATCACCGGCATCAACATTTGACAGTGGGCATGGGGATGCGCCCTGCCCTCCTGCATGTCATTTGTCTTATTTTTAGTGTTTATAGAGGACCGGCCGGAGCAGCTGGTGAAGAATTGCAGCCTCTCTCTCTCTTATCTCTTTCGAGTCTCTCTTGTCGGTCCCACCCACGCGAACAGCAGTGGGCTGACGTCCAATTAAGGTTGTGGCTAGTTCCCAGTCCGAGTGTCCATCGCGCTCGAGCTTCCGAAAGTTTAAAATGGAGCGAAGAGACGAACGAGTCCGAGAGGGCAAAACGGGGGGGGGGACGGGTTAGCGGGCAACGGGGGCAACGGGAGCGTTCCGCGGCCTCTGGCTGGTGGGGAATGGGGATGGGAAGTGCGAGGAGCGCTCCAAACGAAGAGAGAAACGGCAGATTGGGGCTAACAGAGCAGGCTAGGTAGGTAGTAGTGTAGGCCAGGCCGGTAGGCTAAGCAGGCCAGGTAGGCTAGGTAGGCCAGGTAGGCTCAAGGGTCTTGGCCCTGGGCAAGCAGACAAGCGAACCCTTGGCTGGCGGGCTGGGCCATGCTGGCTCTAGCTAGTCGGCCTTTTCACCACACCACCACACCACCACTACCTCCTCCTTCTCTCCCTCCTCTCCCTCCTCTCCTCCTCCACGATACCTTGCATCGTCCCCAGCTTCAGCAGCAGCACCTCCATCTAGTCCCGCCCCACAGACCAGTCTCTGTCACAGGCACACGGCACACGGCACGCCTTGCGCTTTTCGCTCCGCTTCGCTACGCTGGCTTCTAGCGTCGCGCTCTGCTGCTACTGCGGGACGGCCAGTGCTAAGCATCGCAATCATGCAAACTGCGCCCGCGGTCGTGGCCGAAGGATCTCGGGAACATCCATCCAATCCACCACCCATCGTCATCCCACACGCGCGTCCCTGTACATGAGGGTACATGAGGTGGCCCACGGCGCTTGCTGCTTGCTTCGACAGCTGACTGTCTCACTTTCACACACACACACTTCCTCTCTCTGTCGCTGTCCCTCGCCGTGTCACTCTATCTCTCACGCATTTCACTCTACAACCCTGGCCTACTACCTCGCTCGGGTGAGGTCACCGCAGCCACACCAGACCCTGGGGAGACAAAGAGAGCGCCATGCAGGCGCTGCGCTCCTTGCATGTCCCTCCGTACCCTGACCCCTACCGTTCTTTGACCGAGTCTCCCAGCTCTTCCAATCTTCTCCCACCAGCCAGCCACCCGCGCGTAGTCTCACTTGCATGAGGCCCGCCTTTGCCTGCCATCCCCCCCCCCCAAAGTCGATCCTCGTCTCCGTCCCGTCCGCCACGGATCACCGTACCATTGTTTTTTCTTTCACTTGTCAGCGCCGTCGTCGTCAGCCTAATCAGGTCTGGCGGCGGCGGCGGCGGCGGTGGTGGTGGTGGGCTCTATGTGGTGTGGTGGAGTCTGACGTTGAAGAAATCTCGATGCCAACGTCGCACAACCTCGTCCCCATCAGCCCTACCAAGCTGGCCTCGCCTCGCACTGCGTCGGCACTTTTTATATAATCATTCTTTTTTTGTTTTTGTTTTTTGGTGATCCAGGTTCGGCTGACGTGATCTCATTTCTCACATTCCTGACCTCGTCCTGACCCCTCCGGCCCCGGCCTCCGTGCCTGCGCGCCTACCCCCCCTCCCCTCCCCCACCTGCTTCCCGACCCCGCGCTGCCGTCGTCGTTGCTGCTCACATGTATGTGACAGCGCCTCGACAAGATTGTGCGACGTCGGGGAGGGCGGTCTCAAATTTTCTCCCGGGCCCGAGGGGCCACAGAACGGCCTGCCATTCCACCCCAAGCTTCTGACCAGGGGTTCCACACCCCCATCTCACCTTGCTGGTTCACAGCACGCGGCAGTCCGCCCTACAGTAGTCTACTCTAGACCATATATCCAAAAGACATCTAGCCCCAGCGGGCCGTGGGGTGAGCAGCTAAGGGGAAAAGAAGGAAAGAAAAAAGAACCACAGCTCCTCTCTGCGACACCTTACTCCAAGCGGTCAAGCCAAGTCTGGGACCGGTGAGCGTCGCTGTGCCGGCATGGCGGCCATCCGGCCACACATCTCGGTCTGCACGTCGTGGCCGACAATCTGCGAGGCGGAATGGCTCATCTCGCTCTTTTTTCACCTTGCCATCTTCCTCCCATGTGAAACATCCATCAAATCGAGGCAATGCGCATGTGTTTAATCTGGTCGATTACTAAGCCCGACATGCGGCTCATTTCATTCCCCCTCTGCCTCAGGCGATGCCCCATAGGGAGCCCAGATCTACGTCCAACGAAACCCGGCTGATCTCAGCACTACCAATGCAAGACACACACCCTCCCCCAGTCCTTCTGCCTTCTGCCACGCCTCTGCCCATGGGTTCATAATGTACTGTACGTACAGTACACTGGGACCCACGGCAAAGCAACCTCGGGGTTATGGTGCTTTCAGAGCTCCATCTCGGTTCCGAGCCGAGCCGCTCAAATCGATCCTTCAGGAACATATCTTGAGGCCTTGGCGGGAGAGGGAGAGCTGAGAGGGAATGGGGGAAGAAATCTCTGCTGCACGCGCTGCAGGGCCAATATCCCGCGGCCACAGTCCGAACCGCGAATTAGGCTCAGAAGGTGTCTGACCAAGGTCGCGCGAAGTGACGTAAATCTTGTCATTCATCTATGTGGCCAGGAAAATTTCTCGTGGCGGAATGGCATACAGGACGGACCGTTGCCAGTCAAAGTTGCACCCGCCCGTGAGACTCCAGCCACGCCAGCCACGCTCGCTGCAGTTCGTGAACGATGGGGGAGGGGGTCTCCAGGCGTTAGCGCTCGAGGTCGATGCAACCCACCCAGCAGGACAAACCTCCCGGGGGTCTGTTGACAGAGTCCCCTTGGCAGGAGGAGTTATAGGTCCACGCTCTGGCGAGGTCCCTGCTAACCCACTCTCTTACAAGTCTGGGTACCTGCGCTGACGTGTGTGATCGCCCGCCCCACGGGTCCATGGGGCGATGTCTTGGGAGTTGTGCGAGCGCGCCCGCATGTCTGCGTGCGTGCTTGCGCCTGTCCGTCTGAGCTGGACTGCACCCCTGCCCCCCCCCTTCCGCACCCTCAGGCTGCCCATCAGTCTCGTGCGACATATTGATCGCGTGGATGTGACCTGTCTTTTTTCATACCAGGCCGGCCAAGAATAGAGGAGAACAGGGAGACCTTGAGGCCCCCCCTGTGACTTCCACGAGATTCCCTGCGATCCATGTGAGATTTCGCCGGGGAGTACTGCGTCATTTTCTTGGTCTGCTGCTGTCATGCTGTCGAGTCGGATTCGTGTGGGGAATACGGCACTGGGGTTGAGGCGGGAGAGCGATGCTGACCGCCGAGTTTGGAATCCGCGTATTATCCTCCCTTGCTGCTGCTCTAAGGAGGCGAGCTCGCGGGATCACATGATTTGGACAACAGCCGGTGCAGGGGGCGGCTGCTAGGTGACCCAAGGTCGCTGGGAGGTGGCTGCCTGAAGTTCGGGGATATTGGGTCGGAGTAGCCAGCCCGCCCTCGCTGAATGCGATGATGCGTCCCTGATGAAGATGACCGCGAAACTCTAACACCCCACGGTCAGCACGGAAGCAGCAATCTTGGTAAGCAGATAGTCGAAGGGCGGGTGTGTTGCTTTCGAACCCCGCGAGTTCAGCGTAAGCCGCGAACCGAAAAAAGCGATGCGCGGTATCCCCTCGAGCGCTCTCGCGCCCGCGCCCGTGCCCGAGGGCGGGATGTGATGACGACTCTGGGCTCAGCGCTATCTCGCGCTTTGACGAGATTTGGAAGGGTCGGGGAAAGAGCTGTTGGGAATGTTCAGAAACAAGAAGCTACGTTATGGGACGGCCGGAGCATGGGAGTGACAATTTGGTGAATATCCTTTGGGACGACATGGGGTGGCTTGGGGTGGCTGACTTTGCGAAGGATGACTGGATTGCCTCCGCCAAAGCCCAGAATATGTCCTATTTCGTCAGTTGGAAGAGCGTGAGAGTGACTGTACATTCCACAAGGAGTAATTGAACAACCCGGGAGGCAGGGCATGACTGTGTTTACTTCGCCTCTCGCAGAAGTGATCACATGGACTTGACCGGAGTGCTCTTGGTTCTTCTGAGAGCTCCTACCACTACGTTATAACGCACTATGAGGCTCAGATCCGTTGGATCTTGTTGACCTATGCCCGGAGAAACGTGTGGAAATGTCTGCAAATTCTGTATTGGTTTGTTTGATGTTCAATCATCGTCTGCGGAGTGAGCAGCGTGTTCAACTAGGGTGGGTGTTGATGGTCTTGTTTCGGATGCAACCCAAGCAGACTATTGTAGTAGCAGCGAAATACCCATAATGGCATTGTTTTGACAGCTGCGTATTATATAACAGAGGTGCTTGTACCTTTTCATGATTTCCAAGAGATGCTCAATCCGGGCATGGCGCGTGTGTGTATAAGAACGCCCAGCAGGAGCTCTGCATGATAAAAGCCAACCAGTGAGTACCGTTGAAAGGAAGCAGCTTCAGCCTGAGCTGGGGGACGGAAAATTAAGAGCATGTCTGAAATCAGAGATTCCCTGCTGTGGCGACGTTGCGGCTGTCTGTCTGTCCGTCATGTCATCTCCCGCACTTGACCCCGTGGGTGACCCGGTGATGGAGGCCAGCAGTGGCATGTTCTCCACTTGCCACTCTGCAGGGCCAAGATTTTGGAGGTCGGTAATTCCTACTAGAGGCCATATCGAAGCAGGTTATCTTAGAGGAGGTTATCCTCGGGGCGGCGATCTCAGAGTGAAGGCCATCCCAGTGAGGATCACCTGGGCATCCTGCTGGAGACTACCACACTGCAACTTCACCAGAGGAATAGTTAACTAACAACGCACCCAGTGTTGATGCCGTCTCTACGGCCTGTCGTGGCATGAACACGCACAAGCTCCTTCCGATGTTGCCTACCTAGGCGCTTGTCCACAGGGACTCCTGCTCTTCCACATCCACCAAGAAGGAAGGCACGATCTTTCCAGAGCCTGAGCCTTGGAACCAGGCAAGCACGGCCAACTTCGTCTCCAAACTCGGTCATGAGTTCGAACACCCAGGCGCGTTCTTCTCTAAGCCATCACTCAGAACATCACCGGCACCGTCAACAGCCACAGGCACCAGACACAGCCATCTGCCACAGACATATATACATTACTGTATTACCAGAAGACCCCCGACATCCTACCCTCTGCACACCTCGTCAAGATGAAGTTCTCCGTCGCGGCGCCGCTCGTCGCCCTGCTCACGGCGTTCATCCTGGCTCTTCTCGCGTTGCTTGCTGGAATCCAGCCTCATTTCATGCCAGACGCGTATATAGGTCGGTTTAACTCCTCTCCCTTTTCAGATCTCCGTCATCTCCGTCTGTCGGGTTTTAGAGTCTTCCATAATGCATAAAGTGACTAACTATGTCCACCAGTCCGGATTATTGAGAAGCCTGATGATCCGGGCTCCAACAATACAGACCTTGCAGGCACCGACAAAGAAAACTTGTCTACCTCGACAACGGCCCAACATGGAAACTCTTCGATCCCAGACATAGGAAACACAAATTCCAGCTCTTCCTCTCACGGCTCAGACTCTATTACGGGGACGAGCTCTAGCCCGCGGCCAGCTTCACCAACACACAGTCATGCCGCGATGGAAACGACTTCGGAGAATGAGCACGGGTGCATATTCGGGCCGCACGGTGAATGCCAAATCGCATATGAGAAACAGGTGGACAAAGCCCAGGGTATTTTTCCCACCATGAAGCTTGTGCACTTCGAAAGCTACGACGATCACGTCCTGATTCATGCCCGCTCTGACCCTGGGAATCACACCTCCAACACGACTGCAACGAACTCTCCATTCGAAGCTTGGAGTATGCACTTCTTGACCAACTGCGCATGGGAGGGCAAGGAAAAAGTCGGCAACTGCTCAAAGCCGTGGGATTTTGAGAGTTACCTGCTGCAGGGTGAGGCAGACAAAGATGATTCTCTGGAAGACGATTCTGCGGAAGACGGTGCTCCGCAAGAAGGTCATCCCCCTCGGTCACCGTCTTTTCTCTTGACGAGAAATGCCGTCAATGCCAGTGAATCAGAATCTGAGGATGACGAGTTCGACAAAATGTGGAATAAGTTGATAAAAAACAGGGCCGGGTTTTCAAAGGTTCACGTAACAGGTTGTGTCCTCGTCGGCCTCTCGTTTCTCTGTACTGCCATCAGCTTCTTCATCCTTCCCGCGCTCGGGAAGTGGATCAGTGTTGGGAATCTGGTTCTTGCCACACTTGCAACGATCTTCCTGCTCACCAGCAGCATATTCACGGCCGTGCTAGCAAATAAGGTACGACACAGACACAAGGAATCGGAGTTTTCCGGAGGCTACGATGTTGAGTCGAGTGACAAGTTCGAGGCTTTGGTCTAGACAGCGACTGCCCTGGCATTTGTGGCGATGCTGGCTTGGGCGTACGAGACGCTGCGGGCCTGGAAGAACGGAGACAAGGTGGGCGACGAGGGAATCCACTTGCGCAACTTGAACCGAATTTGATGAAGCATGGTCTAGCACCAAGGTCACTGCTCTGCAGGCAGATTTCCTCTTTCACCTAAGATAAACATTCGAAGAATCCTAGAACAGACCAATAACGAGTACATGCCTTCTATCGATCACATAGCCTACGTGCTTGGGGCTGAGGTTCTGATCGGCACGGCATCTGAAGTTTATACCAGGGCTGACTAGACAGTGAGAGGCCTTACATTCCGCAGGCTTGCATCATAATATCGAGATGATAGCACGTAAAGACATCAACGTTAATTTTTCTGATGTGTGTCGTGGATATAACTTGGGATTTTGGAGCTCGTGGTGGGGTGATCGGAACTGAGAGTTGTGAGAGAACGTTGGATAATGCACCGTCACTCAGACACGTCCAGCCTCTGCCACCTCGTCTGAAAGGGCGCCGATCCGACGTTTGGCTTCTCCACCCAGACAGGTCAAAAGAGAAAGGAAGTTATCAGCAGCGATCCCCAGGCGGGCGCCAGTGACGCGTGATATAGTTGCATGAACTTGCGATATCAGGGCGAGAGGGGCGGGCGGGATGCGTTGTCGTTGAGTGGGGCTTGACTCGGCGCGGGCGGCGCGCGAGATGCAGACAGAGACGACATGTCGCGATCTCGGGCCCCACGGGGGGAGAGGGGCTGATCCTTCCACGGCGAGAGGGAATAACAGCCTCGCTCGGTGATCAAGAGTTAGAATCGCAGTCTTGGCTTGGGGGGGGGGATATATGTGTCGTTGTTGGATTGATGAGATTGGACTCAGCCGGCCCTGGTCCCGGGGGGAGTGGCCCAGCGGCGTCGGTGACTGAAACCCAGGGGTTCCCGGTGGTGTCGCAGGGTTTCCGTGGTGTGTGGTCAGCGTGGGTTTGGGTCGCGATTGCTGTTGCTCATGACTACTACGTATCTTTCACCGGAGCGTGGCTATAAGCAGGGCAGAAGCTGTTGAATTATGCGTATTTTTCACACGCACAGCTGACGAAATGCAAGTGTCTACAGCATCACTTGTACGGGCCCCTGTCCCTCGACCTGGGTTGTCAATCCGGCGGCCAGCGCGGCCAGGTCGGCGCAGATCAGTACTATTCCTGGGCATTGGAATGACCTCTCGTCCATAATTGAAACCGAGTCCTGAGGAGTCCTCGTTTACTTCTTTTTCCTCATCATATCCACACGTCGTCAAATCTCCCACAGAATTGCAGTCTTCAAGACACTGTGCTTCTGAGACATCAGCCCTCTCATATCGTCAGGACGTCCTGGTATCCTTGATTCCCTATACTTTTGCTCCTACACTTTTCGTGAATTTGCACAATGCCTCGTCTGGGTGATGATGGCCAGGAAGAGGAGACGCTCCTCGAGTACGGCACAAAGAGGACGCGCCGCATAGTGGGTGGCTTTTTGGACTTTGCGACTCAGGGCAACATCCTCGAGATCGCCTTTGGATTGATGTAGGTGTCCCACGATGCACAGGTTCCTCGATGCCAGCACATATTACATGACCTGGGTTGGAGAGCTCCTCAGTCATGGGGGCAAGTGATCACCGTCCAAGGGGCAAGACACAGACAGTATGAAAGTAGCAGCAAAAGAGGAGCACTCCAACCGAACCAACAACAACCATCACCAAGCACACCCACCCGGAAACAATCCCACCTCAACCGAACCATGCTAACCAACCAAAAACAGCGTCGCCGCGGCCTTCACAAACGTAGTAACCAGCTTCGTGAGCGACATCCTCCTGCCGCCCTTGTCGGTCCTCCTCCCGCTCAACGCGAACCTGGACCTCAAGTTCGCGGTGCTGCAGGCGGGCGCCACGTACTACGATCTCCCGCGGGGCTACCGCACCATCGAGCAGGCGCAGGCGGACGGTGCAGTGGTCATGGCCTACGGCGTCTTCCTTAACAAGACGCTCAACTTTGTCGGCCTCGGCTCGGCGTTATATGCCCTCGCCGGGCTTTATCAGTATCTCAGCAAGGACCCTATCATCAAGCACATGGTTAAGTGCCGGTACTGCCGGAAGAGGATTAATGAGAAGGCGAGTGGGGGGTTTTTCTTTTTGTTGTGCTTTTACTCCCTGCTGTTGTTTTGGGTGGGTGGGTGTGCATGTGTGCGCGCGTGCTCTGGTTAAACTGCTGCTTGCTGTGCGCTCACTCATCTCTGTGAGAGAGAGAGAGCCTTCTGTAGTGGTGCTCCTCCTCTGTCAAATGTGCCCGACTGCGTCCAAACTGCACCTACTGACACCGATGATTATAGTCCCTGCGCTGCGTCAACTGTACTAGTTGGCTGGATGGGCGAGAGGAAAACTTGCGATTCCGATAATTTCAGCCGGTGAATGCCCATCACCACTTTGGGGTAGGGTCATCGAACGAGCGTGACCACAGTCTTCAACACACCAGCGAGCATTCTTTTTCAGACAGCGTGGGGGGGGCGTAAGGCTTTTTGACTTTTTGGGCTTCCTTTCCATGATCATCTGAAACGTGTAGTCTCAATTCAGATTCACCGCTTTCCATACATCATCTTCAACTCTAACCGACCATTCACCATCCACCAACCCCTCCACCAAACCCCCGGAACTTTTCCATCCCAACATAGAGGTAGACATTATTGTACAACGTGGACCAAAACTGCAACCCCCGAAAAGACCTTGAAACAAAGCGTGACATCATGTGCATGCAGACGCCGAAAGGTGCTATGAGGCCTGTCTAGGCGCATGCCTTATCGTTCAGTCATCCCTGCTCCCACCGCCCTTGAGCAACGAACGGAGGCTGACAATCTCCCTCCTAAGCCTGGCGTTCTCCTTCTTGACGTAGGCCGTCTCCTCGCTTGAGTCCTTGAGCTTGGTCACGAGCTCCTCCCTGTCCTCGCGGCCCTTGCCCCGGATGGCCTTGACGATCTTGACGAGCTCCGAGTTGAACTTCTCGTACAGCAGCTCGTTCTCCGCCGTGGCCTCCTTGTACAGCTGGTCGATGGCCTTGACCTTGGCCTCGCTGGCCACGAGCGACGCCTCCATGTCCTCCTTGATCGCCCTCTGCCGCTCGTCCAGCTCCTGCAGCACCTGCGGTATCCGCTCGTCCAGCGCTTTCATAGAGGCCGACAGCTTGCGGAGGTCGCCCGTGGCGGAGCGCGGCATTGTGTTGTTCACACGAGCCATGTCGGCAGATATGCGAGACAGCTCCGTCTTCAGCCCGGAGTCGACGTCTTCTATCGCCTTCTTCTCCGTCTCCAGGCGCTCCCTGAGCTTCTGCGGAGACTGCAGTTTCAGCCTCTGGGTTGAAGACCTACCGACGCTGTTGGTGGAGCGCGAGAAGTCGTTGGTTGTCGGACTGAACACGCCAGCCATGGGGAGACGGGACGGTTTGAGAGATGGGATGTTCGACGAAGATAGCGTCTTTGCGTGTTTCCTACGCAGCGAGGACCCTGACGACGGAGGTTGAGGGGTTGAGAACATGCTTTGGAATGGCTCCGTGGCAGGGTTCTCTTTCTGGCGTGGGGAACGCAGACTTTGAGATTGGGGTGTTACGGGGATCTTGCTGGTGGGTGGTGGACTTGGTTTTGCTTTGGCAGGGCTCATCGGTGGGCTTGGTTTGGCTTTGGCAGGGCTTATCGGTGGGCTTGTTTTCGCTTTTGTAGGGCTCATTGGTATCTTAGACGATGGCACTGGAATGCGAGGCGGCGCGGCGTTGACCTTTTCGGAAGTCTTCTTGGTGACATTCAGGGGCATCATTGGTGGAGCTTCCGGAGTGGTGTACTCCATCAGGTTCTTGAGATCCGAGAGTGAGCTTCTTCGCTTCTTCTTGAGAGACTTCGGTGGCTCGAGCAACTCGGTCTCTGGTTCGCCAATCGTTTCCAAGCCAGACTCTAGACGGTGTGAACTTCCTGGACGATGTGTATTTGGTGGCCTAACGTTCATGTCATCAAACGCACCGGCAACACGGGGCCTATCGCGTGAACCTGGCCGCCTGAGCTTGTTAGGTATTGTAGGCACGCCGACATCAATCGACTTCGATCGATTGATTGCAGACCTGCCCAGACTCGAGCTGTCCCCTGTGGCTGGATGTCTCCCATGCTTGCTCAAGGTCCGCCACACCGAAGGGCGATCACCTTCGTTCTTGCTATTCTGTCTGAGGAGATTGTCAAAGCCAAACTTGCGTCGGAGAGAAGACGTGTTGGACGTCAGAGAGCCCGCAGACTTGTAGCTGTGATATGGCGAGTTTAAGGACTCATAGGCCAACGTGCGCTCAAAGGAGCTGGTCAGCGCGGCCAGAGGATCCTCGAATATTCGGTCGCAGTCTTCGACAAGACGGTCGAGAAGATTGATGTAATTTTGAGCGCTGCCGTCATCGACCAGGAGCTCTGCGAAGGCGACAGTCAAAGCGCCGCGATCGCTGTCGTTGCTACAACCTTCGAGCAAATCCTCAAGTAGCTTGATCAGCGCGGTGAAGGCCCTTCTATTTTGTGGCGCCATCTCGTTAAAGAGATAGCGGACGAAATCGCCGAATTCTCCCGGGACCTTCCTGCTTGCTCGTTCTAGAAGCAGGTCCAAGTGCTGGGTGGACATGACAGGCCCCATCTGTTCTCGCCATGCAATACGCACAAACTTCTCAAAGGCCACAAAGACGGTCTCGGCACTGATTTCAGAAGACGACTCCAAGTCGAAGGGACTCTCAATCAAGCGATTGTACAGATCATTGACGGTTAGCTCATCCGCCGTTGACCGGCCCATTAGTAGCCGGCCGATGAAATGACCTTTGCGTGATTGCAGCACGGCGACATATCCAGTGAAAGTCTGCTCGAGTCGCACTAGAGGGTTGTCAGGCCGGTCATCATCGCCGGCAACACCAATAGTGTCCCGGCTGCCGCGGCTTCTTATGGAGTCGACAAGGGATTCTCTGGAACTGCCTGCTCGGGCGATCAGTGGCGGGGGGCTGAGCAGGCCAGCGCGCTGCTGTTTAGGTGGGCTTGTCGAAGTAACGTCAGATGTGCTACCGCTAAGGAAACTTGACAGCATCTTGACAGGGGATGTGCGCAGGAAGGACATCCCCCTTTGCTCTCTCGCGCTGAAGCTCAGAGTCCTTGCGATCTTGGAGTAATAGGATACTATGGCCGGAGCCAGCCGGTAGTTGGAGGTATTAAACTGGGTGCTGAGCAGTTGTATGACTTTTTTTTTAGGTCAGCTTGGCACTATTGTGGGAGTGGAAGCGGTCAACTTACATCGTCTGGAAAGAGTAGGCAATAGATCTTCCAGAGCAACATCGTCGGTGCACTGCTTGCCATTCAGACCCAGTGTAGTCATGCGCAGGCGTTTTAAGCTCCCACTCCGGACCTCCGTCACAACTTCGACTCCATAATGCCCAACTGGATGCCCCTTAGTGCCTTTCTCGTTATCGACCACGATTCGAATAGGCGCAGGTTCCCGGCGGCCTTCGACAAGCTGTTCTGCAGCCTCCTGAAATACTGCGGCATGCATCCCAAGGTTGTTCTCGGGTAGCCTTACAGATCGGAGCGTCCAAACGGGAGTCTCACGTTCTGATTCCGAGAAACGACCTTCGATACGGCCCTTGACGATTTCTTCGCTCAATCTGCCAGCCTTACCCTCGAAGGCCTCATGGAGCATGAAACAGCGCGAGGTTATGGCCTTGCTAGCCCCTTCGCCGGTGCGGGCTGACTTCATCTCTTGCGTGGATGTCATCCACAACAGCCGACCATCTTCTGACTCTGTAAATCGAACATCGGCGAGATTGTGCCACCCCATGAACGCAAGCTCGTAAGAGCCTTGACCACCTGCCGCATTAGTCATGGAGGCGAGGAGTCCAGCCGCAGAGGGCTTATCGATCTCTCGGATGAGCTCTTTACCAGTCGGGCTGGAGGTGGACGACTTGGTAACCAAAGCGACACAATCGGAGAAGAGCAGGAGAATGCCGCCTATATCGTGTGCGCCGAGCTGTGGCGAGTCGGCGTTGAAAGGTGGCGCAAGCTCGGCGAAGTCGATAGCTGTAATTAGGCGACCTTGTGGTTCCAGGTCAAGTGGCCAGCTTTCGACCATGTTTCGGAGGCGGTTCGCCACGTGCGGCTTGTCTATTAGGGGTTCGTCCATGGAGCAGATGTTGGTGATGATGTCCCTCGCCTTCAGCATAAGTTGCAGGGCAGGATGTGTTATGGGTATGCAGCCCACAATCTGGTCGATGAGAAGGCTGTACCGAGGCAAGCGTTGCACGGGCTCGATTAAGATGGAGCGAACTGTCTGTTCTCCTTTTTGAGCGACCCTCTGTCGGAAGCTGGACTGCTTATCCAGGAAGCTGTTCAGCAGCTGCGGGAAGTTCTGGCTCGCGCGGATATAATCTTGATAGCTCTCGGTGAATTTTGGGAACCACTCGACGAAGAGCCTGGCAACGGCCAGAGCACCGCTGGGGTCTTTTGTCCTCGTTGAGCCGCCTACCCGGGTAACACTCCCATGAGATGATTGCAAGTCCCTCGTAGCGTCTTCCTCCGTCTCGTCCATGACCCTGCGAAGCTCCTGCATGAACGCAGTGTTGAGTTGCAAGATAGAGTCGGATGACTTGGGGAAGAGCTTGTCCACATCCTCTTCAGTCGGGCTGAGGCTGCCAGGTGGGCGGCTCTTGGCGGTCTGGCGAAAGTCATCGGCAATGTGCTTGACAAGCTCATTCAATTTTGCGACGTAGCGCTCTTCTGTCTCGACAAGCTCGACCAGTTTCATGCGGAGGTCTTCCTTCTGGTCTTTGGAGAAAGACTTGCCCCTATTCAGCGAGGTCGGTTTAGACGGGGCTCTCCTCAACCTGGACGTCGGCAGGAACACAGGCTCCCCCAGGAGTCTGACCAGTGGCGTGTAGCTGCCATACTGGCGAAGGGTCGGGTCTATCAAGTCGTCCTCGTCCTCGGGCACCTCCTCCAGCTCGGCGTTGTTGAGTGGAACGATGGAGCCAGGTGGCAAGACGAGGTCAATGTCGACATTGCTGATGTGTTGGGTCTGCAGCGCTGACTGCAGAGCATTTATCACCTCTTTTGTGTTGTCGGACTTGGTCATGTCCTGGGCAAGATTAGCTGCATGTTGTTCGCCGAACAAGGCAGGGGCCGAGCCGGGACGTTGGCCTTTGGTGCCCGGGTACTGCTTCCTCAGGTGAGTCTTGACGGCCTCGGGCAGCTCGGTGAAGTACTTGAAGAGGCCAAAGGCGAGACCCCTCCATATCTCGTCGCCTTGGAACTCGCGGGGCAAGTGGCTGACCACGCCGTAGAAAGGAGAGCTCGGGGAGATGGTTATGCGCGGATAGGACTGCAGGCCAGCGGGACTGAAGACATGTATCTGGATGCGCGAGGAGTTGTGGGTGTAGTTGGCGGTGGTGGATGGGCCGTGAAATATACAGAAAGGAAGGTCTCCCAGCAGAGGGTCGTAGGCGTAGTAAAGAGTGACATTCCCTGGCGTCAGGGCCAGCTCATCGGTGACTCGAACCATGGTCGCTCAACGGGCCTGTGGCATGGTCCGCCCGGCTTGCGGTGGCCAGAGTAGAGACGACAGAGCAACGGCCGTCGAGGTGGTCGAGGGCGCCCGAAGAAGTTTGAGAAGAGATGGGACGGAGAGCAGCCGACTTGAAGGCCAGAGGACTGCGTGGTGTGAAGACGGCGACCTCAACACGGAGAACAGAAAAAAAAAAAAAAAAAAAAAAAACAAGCTCAGGCGAGACGGTCCAATGGCACGGCAGCGTTGTGGTGCGGCAGTCTGCAGTAGCACCGGCCTCTGTTGTCTGTCGACACCACGGGTAGGATACGCGACCGACCGACTGTCTCGCGGCTAAAGCATGTACGGAGTAGGAGTACGTATGGTGGACCAGGCCAAGCTGCAGCCACCAAGCTGGCGGTGGTGGCGGCGTGGACGTGTCCGAGAGTGGGAGCTCAAGGCCGAGACAAAGTAAACAATGGGGTGCGCCGCCGGTGCTGAGTGGTGGGTGTGGCGCGGTACGATGCGATGCGATGCGACGGTGCGATAGCGACGATATGCCCTGATAAAGAGGGGACGGACTCTTTCGCGAGGCCCAAGACAAGACAGGGTGGGTGGTGAGTGGGTGGATTAGGAGCGTCGCAAAGGATTGTACGTGTGTGTAGATACAAGAAGGAGAAGATGTAACACAAGCGACCTGCAGCAAGAACCAAGTGGTGACAGGGGGTCTGAGAAGTCAAACGGGGAGAACAAAGTTCTAGAAGTCAAGGCCGGCGTCGAGGTCGAGGACGAGGGCTCAGGACTGGGGGACTGGGGAGGGGAGGAGGAGAGGAGGCGTATCTAGGCTCTGGGCCCGTCGTGTGCAGGCATCTGTCTGGTAGGCACCGATTTGTTTTTGTTCTGCACGTTACGGTACGGTAGATGCATACAAACATATGCAGGTGCGCGAAGCTAGTAGTATCCCTCGCAGCAGCGGCAGCAGCACAAAACCGGGAAGCACGGACGGTGGACAACAATGATATGATGTGATGTGTTGTGTGTTGGGTTGGCGGAGAAGAAAGTGGGCGGATGCCTCCTCCGTGCGGGCGAGACGGGGGTGGGACCGCTGCGTGGGTCTTGCCTCGCTGCTGCTTTGCTGCTGCTGGTCAGTCACGCCCGGGTTGTCAGATTTCGGATCTGAGCGGACGAAACTCTGACTGATGGGCTTGCTTGCTTGATTGCTCAAATGGGTCAGCTAGCCCATGGGCAGACTGCAATTTACTCAAGTGATGGCCGTTCCTGCAAGCTGCATCCTTCCTTCGCCGTCAGCTTCAGCGCGCGCGCGCGCGCGCAGAGAGGCCAGAGAGGGCGGTGAGGTTCGACGGGCCTGTCGATGTAAACAAACCGATGTCTCTCGGCGTTGGTGTTCCAGGGTTGACCCCGCCACGCCCGCGCACCCAGACGCGGTCTGCCCTGAAAATCCATTTGCAGGGGTCGAATCCACGCTTGCAAGGGTTCGCGCTCTGCCCATACAGTAGCGCCAGATACCCAGGTGCCTGGGTGCGATATCCTTGCACCTCCAAGCTGACGGCCGTCTTCAATGCCACCTGCACCCTACTACTTGAAGTACACTCTGATCATCAGCTTGCCTCTCGACAACACAACACAGCAAGGCCCAACGCAACGCATCAGTTGCCTTGACTCGCCATCATGCTCTCCAGCCAGTCCGTAGCCGGCATCCCCCTCAACCACGCCCCGTCGGCCACAACCTACAAGCTGCTGGAAATGCCCCCAGACCTGCTCGCCCTCCTCGAGTCCGACAGCCCGCCCACGCTGCGCCTCGAGCCCTCGCCCACCGCGGGCCTGCTCAAGACGCCCGACAACAAGACTTGGTCCCTCCGCCAGAAGAACACCTCCAACGCCCTCATCCTACTACACGCCTCCGGCCCCGGCTCCAGCCCCGGCCAGGACTCGGCAGCCCTGAGCACCGTCGCAACCCTCCACGAGACCGTCGAGCTCGTCCCCGAGGCCGAGTCTGCCGCCGCCCCCGTCGTGGCTGCCAAGGGTAAATGGCATGAGAAGTTTGGCAAGACCCGTTGAAGCGTTTCACTATCGACAGGGAGATGACAAGCTTTAAAAAGAGCTGGGTGGAGCTCTAGATCTGCCTTGCAAGAGCCGCTATCAAGGCGCAAGTCGCGAGGTGCCCTTCGGTCGTGCCCTTCGGTGCGCCTCAGACACCACAGCCTGCCTGCCTGCCCCGCCAGACTCGTCAAAGCCAACGTCGAAAGAGACGGCAAAGCTCTAGAAGTCGTAGGGCGGCCATGACGATGCCATTGCGGGGTCCGGTCCGCGCCGCCCATCTCTGCAGCGCTGTTTCCCAGAGCATATCATCATCAGGGCTACCTCCGAGTGCGTGGCCCAGCAATGAGTGAGTCTTACGAACCTGTTCTAGAAAGCTGGCGCCAATGAAAGGGTCTACCCACGAAGTGACCGTTCGGATGAAGTTCCACGCGCGCGCTCTGAAAGGGCCGCACTCGATAAAATGCCCATGAAGGCCGGGGAGCATTCCTCACACTCTCTAGTTCATACTTACTCATGTGTGACACAGCTCACTCGCGTATTTAGCAGGAAATGCAAAATGGGTCCTAAATAAACATACAATTATTACTGCAATCTGATCTCGCGATCACTGCACTCCTGGCAGTCTGCTGGTCCACCCGAATGTAAAAGTCCAAGACGCCTAAAGCCTGATATGCTCCCCCGGGCTGTGCCATGCAGAAAAGGGAAAAGAAAACGAAGACCGTCCGAAGCCCTGGGGTATTAGTCTAGTCATTAGTCGTCACAAATGGTATCCCCCGCCCGGCACGTGTGACGACGCCCCTAGGCCGCCCGTCCGTCACTTAAATACCAGGTCGTCGAAACCAAAATAAATCGGCCCGGGCTTAAGTCCGGCCCTGTCGTATTCAGCCCAGCCGCCGTCCATCCCCGGGTACTGTCCGCGCCATATGTCATCAAAGCCTTGATCCATGCCGCCCATGTTCATGGCCAGGTTTTGAAAGTCCTCACGGGGAGCAGCGAAGTCCAACAGGCTCAAATCGTCATTCATGGCTGGCTCCACCATCGCTGGATCCCCGGTCCTGTAATCGATTTGGTTAGCGTCTCCGACTTGACCGTTACCGACAGGTGAGGCCCCAGGATGCTCACTCTGCCTGTAATGGTCGTAGAGACCGCGGACACCCCATGGTAGCATCGGTTGGCCCATCGCGTGCACTGGAAGTCCTGGACCCTGCAAATTCTGCATCAGACCCCAGAGCCCCATCTCTGGCTGAACTGCTGGGGCTGGAGGCTGACCGAACACAGCCCGCGGGTCGACGTACGGTTGGACCTGAGCTTGGGGTGCTTGCTGCACGAGGTTCGGGCGGTCAACATCCCGAAATACAGGGGCAGCGGGGGCGGCAGCGGGAGCCACTGCAGCCTGTTCGTGCTGAGCCTGAGAGCGACGGCGAAGACGAGGGGAATTATGAGGCGTGTTATTTCGATTAGCTTGAGGCTGAGGCTGGACCTGGACACGACCCTGCACATGACGTCGCGCTGCGGCGGCCGCGGCGACATCGGGGCGGTTCTCAAGCGCATAGGCAGGTATGGGAGCATTCACTGCAGGCGGTTGATGCCAGGGTTGCGGCCGGTGAGGGGGAGGGGGAGCAGCAGCAGCAGCAGGAGAAGCAGGAGGAGGAGGAAGAGGTAGTTGAGGTTGTGCTTGTGGATTTGGCGGTGGCTGAGCTTGTCCGAGTAAATGGTCGCCAGCCCGCTCAAGTATGTTGCCAACGTTGAAGCGTACCAATCTTCCCAGGCGACCGCCTGCCCGGTGGTGGTGATGGTGGTGACGATGATGGATATCTAGTCTGAGTTAGCGAACCTAACTATCAAACCCCGAGCCATCCCTCACCATCTGCATGCTCTGTACAAAAGGGTACTAACGTTGCTGACCCGAGGCCTGTTTCTCCTCATCCTTCTTGACTTGGTCAGACAGTTGGAACTCCAGCAGATCGGCCTGAACCTCTGGGTGCATCTCTCGGGCTCTCTTCCTGGCTTCTTCCTCCGCCACTCGGACTTCTTCTCGATGCCGCTTCTCGACACCATAGCCGTCGTCAAACAATGGACAGTTGCCTGTCTTTCCACCTCGGCTGGCATCGTTAAAATGGCTATAGTCGCACGACTTCGAACAGACGTAGCACTGGATGTTCCTGCACTTCGTGCAAGTCATCTTGTTGCAACCATTTTCCTTTATAAATGGTGCTGAGCATTTGTTGCATGTCCGTATCAAAGCTGCCGACATTGCTTCCTCAATCTCATGCCTAGCAGAGTGGCCGTTATCTAAAGCTGCTTCCGCGCATGTTTTGGGGATGTGGGTTTCCTTCCTGCATGATCGGCAGCTCGTGACAGCACAATCTGGATTGAGGCAGCGGAATTCCTTGTCCTCCTCAATGGGGGGATACTCCGCGGCAAACGGGCACTGCGGGCATGTTTCGAGGTTCTCAATTCCTGCTTCTCGCAGAACGGCCTCTTGCTCGATGCGGTCCAGAGCTGTCATGGAGTGTGCATCGAGAAAGATCTCCTTCTGGCCCATGGCAAAGCCGCCCGTACAACCATCTGTGGACATGCAGTCCAGGCGGTACTTCGACAGTCCGATCTGGGTTTCGGCCATCATCCTTGCACAATCTCGACAGAACCAGTGCAGGCTCTCTCCATCGCAATGGACCATGCGATTCAGAGCATATTCTACGAAGCAACATCCGCAGTCAGCGATGTTGCCCTCGAGCATGGCGACTTGCAAGTTGTTCTTTTCGTCTTCTTCTCGTTTCCGTTCGACCTCGGATTCTGCGCGCTGTTTGGCCTGAACTTCTCTCAAGGCCCGGAACTCCTCCAAAGCCTCGCGTTCCCCTTGGTCAGCAGAGGCTTGTATGCGGTCGGCCAGGGCATCCACATCGTATCTGCGGGGGATTTGGGTGACTCTAGATTTTTTTCGGTAGGGCGGACGGTTGTTGCTGCTAGCAACAGTCGCAGCCACTTCCAGAAATGCAGGATACAGACAGTTGCCGTGTTCAGCAAACGTTCTTCTCAGGTCTTCAGCGTAGAATTCAGGGAAAGACTGCTGCATGATCATATCACTAAAAAGACATCAGCACGACCGAATCCAAGGTTGAGAGTTTTCTCGTCCCCATCTAATACCCGTCTCTGGTACCGAAATGAAATGGATTATTAGGAACTCACCAAGTCTTTTTATATGAGGCAGCCTTCAGTTGTCGCCGTCGCTCCTCGTTGTCGAACTTGGCGGCGGTTTCGTCCGGGCCGGACGGCTCCTCCTCGTCATCTCGCTTTCTTTTCAAGAGATTTGGCTTTGGCACCTTTGGATACGGTTTACCTTTCTCGATTTGGTCAAAAATTTGGTCTATGACGCGGTTCGCATCCCATTGAGCCTCAGTGCAGACACGGGTCAGGTACTCGGGATCGATGTCGGGAAGAGTTGAGACGACACTGAGCTTGCACTGAGACTTTGTCTCGTCCGCAAGGTATAGGCCGAAGCTTTCTTGGTCCTCGTCCTGATCCTGCATTGCGGCAGCAGGCGGAGCTCCAGGTCCCTTGACCGAGAGCATCTTGAAGGGACTGAGCAGGACGCGGACGGGGAGTGAGACTGCGCGCTGGCCCCCGTTTGTCAAGTCGATGGGGGGTTGTTGCGGAATCTGCTCCTGTTTCAAATCCAGTCGCTGCCTCTCGTTTCTGCAGTGACAAAGGCGAAGGTAGCCTTTACCCCTCACCATAGTCAGTGAAAATACGACCCGTCGGTGGACTTTAAATTTGGGAAAGTGCGACTGCTGAGTCGTCACTTTTGAGACAAATGAGCCTGTGCGGGAGTCGTAAGGCAAATGTGACCTCAGGTAATGAGAAAACGGAGCTTTAGAGTGGGTATTCGGGCTGCCAAGTGTGTAGGTAGGTAGACATCAGGAGACGCCGTTTTGTTTGTTCCTGCTGGATTCACCCTTAGAGGCAACACGGTTTGCCCTGGGGACCCATTTGCTTCGAGGTACACGAGCAGCCGAGTCTGAGAGATGCCAAAGACGGGGGAAAGGGCGGGAAGCTCGGCTGCCACCACACAGGCGAAGATGTAGAAGAAGGATCGTGTGGCACCACGAAGAATCGACACGGAAAAGCAAAGCTCGTACCACCTACCTTGCCAAACTAGGACACAGAGACAGCGATGAGAGTAGGTGAGCAGTCGCGCATCATGAGTGAAAGGCCCCGCAGCAGCCCTAAGCGGTTTGATGCTTGGTATGGTCGGGCTCCCGGACGTGGAGGTGGACTTGCTCGGCCCTGGTCGGCTGTCAATCGCGCAATGACAGCGACGGCACCAATATTATTGGAGTGTGTCCACAACTAGAGCATAGCCTGGGCGTCTAGTACGGGAGCTTCAAAAGTCGAGCTCGCCCAGCTGATTGTCGGGTTGATTGAGCAGTCGACTGGATGGTTGGCCGAGCGAATGATGGCTCGGATGCCGGGAGATTCTGCGACTCGGGCCTTGAGCTGCCCACTCGCCAGACGGTCCGATGCCGTGAACGTTGCGGTTGCTGGCTGATGGTTTGCTGAGGAGGATTTGATGGCAATGAGATGGTTGGTGAGATGATTCTGCTCATAGGTTGGGTCGACAGGTACCTGTGCGGTTAGCTGGGCAGGTAGGCACGCAAGTAGGAAGGCTGTGATCAAGGACATGTGAGCATCATGGGTGGGCTGAGGGCAGTCTGGGGTCGAAACGGCACTTTTGAGGGAGGTCTACAGGCGGAGTCTCGCCTCTGCGAAGTGGTGGTGGGAGGTGCGGCACTGATGAGCAGCTGATCAGCCAACTCAACCTAGCATTTGCTTTTGGTGAAGCTGGTTGGCAGGTTCCCAGAGCTCTGAGCTGTCAGGCCGGCCCGGACTGGTTTGTTTGGTTTGTTTCACTCCCGCTCTCACCCATGCGGCGCACTCCTCACTTCACTGTCGGGGGTTGCGCTGGGCTCAGCTGTTCCGGCCCGCACGACCCCTGCCTTCTACCCGCCTTCCGTCCAATGCTGGTGGCCAAAAGCGGAAGGCGCCGTCCCCACTTGGCAACCTCCCTTCCCCACTTCACCTTCGCTTGACAGGAGTAGTGGCACCATTACTGCCTAAACAGGCCGTCCTGTACGGTGTACATGCTGTCGTTAAACTAGACCATACTTCAATACTTCGTCAGACAACAGGTTCAGCAGACAGCTCTATTCTATAGACACGTACACATATCAGGTACCCACTGCCCAATGGACACTAAGAACCGCGCTGGTTCAGTTCTGGTGTCACAAGCGACTTGTCGACAGAAGACGCGAGTGGACTGCAGGCTGCTTCTGGCACCCACCCACCCTCATGCCAACCAATAAGCTATCTGCGACTAGCTACCTCAGCAAGGTATCTACATCGCTGGTCATTCCTCATAGTCGTCATCAGAACCTGTATCCTCATCTTCTTCTTCTTCCTCCTCTTCTTCAGAAGAAGACATTCGCCTCCTCTGCCTTGTTCTGCGCTGAGGAGCCCGTCTCTGGGGCGAGGTCTCGCCTGACTGTGACGCCGGCGAAGCCGCTCGCGCTGTCGTCGCACCGCCATCCTCGATCACCAGTCTCGCATCTCCTTCGTCTCCGCCATCCTCCTCATCCTCGATAGCAGGAAAGAAGCTGGACTTGTGGAAGCCCCCGCGGTCTTCTGCCTCCGCCTCTTCCTCCTCGTTGTCGAAGCCACCAGGCAAGAAGCCGCCCGCCATGTCCTCGCCGTCGACCGCATCATTTTCAACAGTCGGCACATCCTGGCCATCATCCCGGCTGTGGCCAAAGGCCTGAAACGTGTCCTTCAAATGCCCATACTCGCGCCGCACCCTCTCAGCGATCCGCATTCCCATCAGAAGTTTCCGCCACGCACCTAGGACAACCTTGCGGCGCTTTTCGTCTTCTTTCCGGGCCTTTTCGGCCTCTTCCTTCGCAACCTCCTCCATGACACGGTCATAATGTTCTTCGGGTATGACGACGCCCTGGATCACAGGCACAGCCATTCGATGCCCAAATTCAAAGTCCACGACTGCTTCGGCGAAGTCAATCTCGAGCCGCCTGCAAACACGTATCGCTGTTCGGTACGGCACGTGTGCTGCACCTTCTGGAAGCATGTGTTCAACGAAGAGGTCAATATTTCCATATTGGTTCTTCGGGATGATGCCGTTCTGAATCGGAGGGGGGATGATCCAGTCTGTTTGGTCCTGGCTGTAAAGCCCCTGAAGGACCTTGTGGCCAGCTGCTGCCTCCGCCTCTGCGAGCTCACGTCTCCGGTTTGTCGTCGCGGCTCTGAATGGTGCCCGCTTCAACGGCTGTGCTCCAGGTTTAGGCGCCCTGCCTTGCTTGTGCCATGTCTCCTCGCTCTTCACTGGCACGACGTCCTTCCGGAGATACACAGGCTCTTCTTCGCCGTCTCCCTTCTTGCCCTTGTTCTTGAAGTATCTCACAGCCTTAGCTGTGGGCAACAATGCTTCCTCGCGTTTCAGATGACGTTCCAAGACAAATTCTTTCGAAGATTTGAAGTACTGCAGGGTTTCCTCGCCCTCTTTCACTTCTTTCTTCGCAGGTTGTGCTATCTTCAAGTCAGTGGCGTCTTCGTCGTAGTCAACTTCTGTCAGAGGGTGGTTCTCGCCGCCTCGTGTGTACGCGCGCAGAACAGATTTGAACCAGTCGAAATGATCATAGCGCTTAACCTTCCCATTCTTGTTGTAGACTGGGATCTTCTCCAGTGGCATTCTTGTGCCTTTCGTCCTACCAGGGAACAGTTGCCCCTTGAGGTATCTGACGGTGACGTCCTTGGCTGTGCCGTCCTGACTGAAGCCCACCACGTAGGCCATGACTTGCTTAGCTTTGTCTGCCTTGGCGCCCCTGGGTCCAAGAGACTCAATGAGATCCCGGTTTGTGCCCACAATGTTCTTAACGATCACATCCACCGGAACGTACTTGTGTGTAGCGGGCGAGAGCACTTCTGTCCAGTAATGAGGAAACTCCAGGTCCCTGTCAAATTTGGCGTTATTGCTGTCCTTGGTGGGTGTCAGTGGGGGTACCTCGACAGAAAAATTGTCTTCACTATCCTCTTCGGACAGTCGGAGGTCATCGTCGTCGGATTCGTCCGAGTCCTCTTTGAGACTTGTTCGGCCTTGCTTTCGCAGTGATCGGCCCGACTGACGGGGCTGTTTCTTGATCTTTGAGGTCTTGACTTGTTTACTCGGAGCTTTCTTTGTCGGCCGACCCTTGCCTTTACTAGATTCTGCGGTTGGTGTGTCTTGCTTCACTTCTGTAGATAGGTCGCCGATTTTATCGGGTTCGGCCTCCTCTATCTTGTTGAACCCGAAGCCGACCGGTTGCAAGTTGGCAACCATCCTTGCTTCAAGGCCGAGGGCTCTCAGAAGGCATGTGAAAGTTGTGCACCAACGTCCCGACTGCCGGTACACTCCTGAGCGCGGAGTCGAAACCATTGCAAGCTTGAGATACGTTCGCCGTATCGACCCGGGTTTATGCCTCCCTCATTGAAGCCCTTGGTGAGGTTTGCGCACCGCCGTGTTTGCATGTAGCCCAGTTTGCGAAGCCCAGGCGCAGTGACTCGAAACCGCTTCCTCCACCAGGCCGAGAGGGACCTAACCAGCCGAAACAGTGGGTCGCCGTGGCTCAGGTCGACTGCACCGTTCTCAAGTCTGTGAGCAGCACCGCCCCAGTCCCTTGCTGCTTTCTCACTCGCCTTACTGTTCTTGCTGCCCTTGCCGTTGGTTTTACCCTTGGGGGCTCTCTTTGTGGTCTTCTTTGGTGTCTCCTCGTGCAGATCCAATCCGCAGCTGCGTCTAAAGCGCTCAATCTCGTCCCACATTCCTGGTGGGATATGGGATAGGACAATGCCCTGAGTTACGGGGTCGCAGAGCCACGCGTTGCGGATTGCGTTGTGCCACATGAGGAATTGAACATGCATGCAGTGCGTAGCAATGCGGGCCTGACGTTCCTTCTTCGATGGGCCTTTCTTGCCACCAAAATCAGCGAAGGTGGCAGTCGGCACATGCGACAGTGTCAATTCCAAAGCCCCTTCATTGGGCCCCTGGGCCTGCTGAGGCGCCAAAGTCGGGTAGGAGACATCTTCAAATTCAATGTCCTCGTCCTCGTCCTCGTCCTCGTCGTCTTTTGCAAAGTCCGCTTCGATCTTCTGACGCTTCGCCCCTGGAACGTCTTCAAAATCCGCGTCGGAGAGCGATGACAAGGAGCTGCTGTCGTCATCGTCGTCGCTAAGTTCGATCACCTGTTTGCGCACCTTGCCCGCGGATTTGGGGGAAATGGTGGAATCGAGGTCGTCGAACAAAGTCGGCTTCCTCGGTGGCGCGATAGCTGCAGCTGTCGCTTTGCCTTTCAGTTTCGACTCATTCCTCTGGGGCGAGTCTTCACGCAGCCTCTTGCGTGGGACGTTAGGCGGCATTGTGTCATGTCCTGCCCGGTCTGTTTCCGTCAAGGCATATTGCACTCCTGCCGGCGCACAGAATTAAGTGAGAAGCGTTGTGCCTTGAAAGGTTGGTAGTCAAGATTCAGCAGGGTCGGTCATTGCGCCCTTGGGACGACGTCATAGATAGAGTCGAGAAGCGTAACTCATGAACATGAGTACTAGACTAAGCCGACGCGAAACACGACAGCACGTGTGGACAAGGGACTCTCTGACAAATGCGTCCAACTCAGGGTTAGGTCTTTAATCCATCCTCCACCTCCTCCCCCCCTCCTCTCACGCCCAAGCCCACCCTTGGATCCATTCAACTTCGGATCTTCAGTTCGGTCATGGTCTTCCAACTTCAGGTTCAGATGCAAACACAAAACCTGCGTAGACTACTGCCTCTTTCAAAAGGACATGCATAAAGATCTTAATTTATCATGTGCACAGAGAAGTAGCATTTGCATGCCCAAGTTTTCTTCCATTTTTGCACCCAATTCATTTCGCATCAACTCTTTGGACTTCATCTCATTTTACGCGAGTGACTTCTAAAATATTTGTTCAAATGATGGGTTCTAAAAACCCGGCGTTATCATCGTACAAACTGGTCAGCAAAAACCGCCCCAAAACCAACCTCACAATGCTTTTTTGCTTTCTCGAGTTTACTAAATACATACTCCACGCCAACAGGCGCTCCATCGGGGTCGACATAGATGTACGCTCCCGTCACATGAAACATGGTAACCATCTCTTTCACGTCATCCGGAACCTCCAGCATGTGAATATCACCCGGGGGCTCATATGCGTAGCCTCCCTCGGTGGCCCATCATGGGTGCTCTTTCTACGGACTTGAATCACCATGCCGATCACGCACACAACCTTGGGCCATGTGGGCAGGTACCATTGGTGCTGTCTTCTTACTGGTCATCAATGGTTTCCAGGTGTTCCTCCCAGGGCAGTGGTCTATAGGCGACTTTTTGACTGCTTACATTGGTATTCCCGTGTTCCTGGCAATATACCTGGGCCATCGAGTTTATCTTCGTCAGGATGGATGGTTCAGAGAACCAGGTGACATTGCAATGACGGAAGGTTTGGATGAGGTCTTGGCTGCTGAACGTCTGGCCCCAGTCCGGGAAAAGGTTTTGTTGGTAGGTCTCTCGTACGTACGATAATCATATGGGAAGCAATTATGTATTGGTATTGTTCTGTTTAAGTTTTAAAAGGCTACGTACCCTGGAGGGAATAACTAAAGTAGCCTTTTAAGTGCAAAGGTTATACTTATTAATACTTATAGTTTTTCTCTTTTTTTAATAAGTATATATAATTTTTATTATAATTAATAATTCTTATTATAATTAACCTTAAAATTATAATTTATTATATATTAAGTATATATAATCTTTATTATAAAAAAGCATTATTAAAAAGGCTTAAAATTATAATTTATAAATTTTAAAATAAATCCTAGCAACCCTTACCTTTATATTACCCTTTAAACTTATAATCTTTATTATTATATTACCCTTTAAACTTATAATTATTATTATTATATTATTTTTTAAATATTATATTTATTATTTTTAATATTTAACTTTTAAGATTATTTTTTTATGAAAATTATTAACTTTTATATAATGGCCTTAATTTTAAATCTTTTCTTTATAAAAAAAGTTAATGCTTATAAAGCTAATATTAAACCTTTTAGCTTATATTTATTTTTATTATATATTTTTATAATATAAACATTATTATTTTTATTCTTACTTTTATTATTAAAATATATTTAATATTATTTTAAATTAATTTTCTTTAGCTACTTTTTATTTTTTTAAAATTAAGCATTATAAGCAGCCTAATTATTCATTATTTCCTTTTTTTACTTTTTATTATTCTTTTTAATTTCTTTAATAATTATTTTTTATTTAAATTATTTAAATAATGATATATATTTTTTAATAAATCCCTTTATATATAAACCTTATATATGTTTATTAATAATTTAATATAAAAAGTTTTAAAGTTAAGTTAATATAGCAATTTAATTCTTTAATAACTAAATCTTTTTAATTTAATATATATAAAAAATACTTAAGATTAAAATTCTTATTAAGTTATTTATTATAAAAATTATAATAATTTAGCATTTAAGATAATAATTACCTTAATAGTTTTTATTATTAAGAATATTATATAATTTTGCATTAAGAATTTTAATACTTTTAATATAAATATATAGCTTTTTAATTATATTATTAAAAAATATTTACTTATTTTAATATTAAAAGTTATTAATAATTTAAATAATAATTATTATAATAACGTTATTTAAAAAAAGTATTTTAATTTAAGCTATAATTATAGCCTTTAGTTTATTAATTTTAATAATTTCATAAGAGTTAACTTTAATAAATAGCTTATTTTTTTTAATGCTTAATATAAAAGTAAAGTTAAAAGCAATCTTTATAATTTTTATTAAGATTTCATTAACCTAATTTTAATTATCTTTATTATTATTAATAATTAAATTACCATTAATATTAAGTAAATAAAAGTTATTATTATTAATATTCTTATTAATATTCATTAAATAAGCATTATTATTATTAATATCCTTATTAATATTTATTAAATAAACATTATTAATAATAACCTTATTATAAGAATTAATAAAATTAATAAGCTTATTTTTATTCTTATTAATTAAGGTAATTTTAGCTCTTTTTATAGCCTTAATAATAATTCCAATCTTTATTTTATTACTTAATAGGAATGTAATTATAATGTTTATTTTATTAATTAAGGTTATAATTGCAATATTTATTTTATTAATTAAGGTTATAATTGCAATATTTATTTTATTAATTAGGGTTATAGTTATAATGTTTATAGGGAAATCTTAATTTTAATTAAGGGTTGTGGTAGATTTACCTTTAATGTTGGTTTATAATGGGCTTGGGCTATTGCCTAAGCCTTATATAGTGTGGCTAGATAATCCAAGGGAGCTTGGATTATTATGTACCTTTTGGCTTAATTGGTTGCTGCTTTTGCAGCTTATGGAAGAAGGCGCTAGCCAGCCTGCAGCCCCTTTGGGGCCAGCCCATAACATGGTTATATTAATGGCAATTATGGTAATAATTATATTAAATATGTTTTTAGCGCGGGTAATAAATATAATGTTTATTGGATAATTTTGCTTATTATTATTATTTTTATAAGGTATATTAATAAAAGTATTAAATAACTTTTATAAGTTATTATTAATATTTTTTATTATAATAAAAAGGAAAAGATTTTATAGGAATTTAATAATTAAAATGAATATTTATAATATAAAACTTTGTAATTATTATATAATAATTATTAATTTATTCTTTAATTATAAGAAAAGTTAATAAGTTATAAATAAATTTAATAAAAGTTAATTTTAATATTATTGCTAATAAATAATAGCAAAAGATAATAATAATAATAAGGTTAACTTTAAAATAATAATTATTAATAATATTAATAATTATAAAGTTGTCCTTATATATAATAAGGTATTAAAAAGGTTTTAATTAAAGTATAAAAAGTTAAAGTTTATATTAAGGGTTTAAATTTAAAAAATATAAGGTTTTATAGCTAATAATAGCAAGGTTAAAAGGAAAAAATACTAGTAATAAATTATTTCTTTCTTAGCAAAAAGGGGCTACTTTAAGTCTTTTAATTAACCTATTTATTTATATGCAAAGTTTATTATTATTAATAAGCTTTTATAATATAATATTTAAAGTTAATTTTATTATTACATTAATAAGGTTGTTTTTCCTATTTATTTACCTTACTTTAATAATCTTTCTTATTTTATATAACTTTTATAATAATATAATATTAATTATAAAGTGCTTTTTTTTTATTATTCTTAGCTTTATAAGGTATTTATATAAGCTATATAAGTTTATATAAATAATTAAAGGTATATTTAATAATAAGAATTATTTTATAGCTATTTTAATTATTATAGCTAAGAAAATTTTAATATTTACTTTATTTATTATATTATAAATTTTACTTATTAATATGCTTTAAATAATATATTTATACTTTATTAATGATTAATAAAAAATATTACCTATTATTATAAATTCTTTAATTTCTTTATAAGTTTTATTTATAAAAATAATAATATATTTAAGTTAAAATATTAAGTCTTAATTATTTATAAATAATTCATTTATAAATATAAAAAGTTTTACTATTTTAAAATTAAGGGGTATATATTTAATTTTTTGCATGGCGTTATTTATTTACTATAATAATTGCATATTTAGGCTTTTATAATTTCTTGCCTTTACATTTTATATTTATATAGCTATTAAAAAATTATATAAAGCTTTTAATTAGTAAATTAAAGCTATATATGCTTTATAAGCTTTTTATTTAAGGTATTTTTAAAAAGTATCTTTAATTATTATATTAATAAGGATAAGTTTATTAGCTTATCCCTTTTATTAAGTAATAATTAAGCTAATAATATTTATAATTATGCAAGCCTTATTATAATTTATTAGGTTTTTAGGCGTTAGCTTTTATTTTAATTTTTCTTATAATTTTATAATATTTATTTTAATTTCTTCCTTATCTTAAAATTTTAATATAAATAAAATTAATATATTATTTATTTATATGCTTATTATCTTAAAGGATTATATAAACTTTATAATTATTAAATAAGGATTATATATAAAGCAATTTATTTTAAGCTTTTATTAATAATGTTTTTAATATATATTAAATTAATAAACGCTAGATTTTGCTATGCGATATAAGGGTTAAATAATATAAATAATTATGCTTAAAGAGTATTTATTCTTTAATTTCTTTAATAGCTTTATAAAGATTATTTTACATAGTTTTAACTTTGCTTAAGAATAGGCTTAAGTAATATTTTAAAGTATAAGAACCATGCCTTTTTTTTAAATTAATAAGGGGGTAAGTATAAGAATTATTTATTAGCT